GGGGGGGGGGGGGGGGGCAGCGTGCGACTCTGCTGTGCTCGTCGTATCAGCTCCCTACCGCCCATCAATTTGATACCACCGTCTACGGATGGCGGGCCGGCGGAGAAGCACATGGACATAAAATATAAGACACCCATCATTTTACTCTCGAAGAACTCAGTCATATCAGAAAACGGCAGGCCACATATCTTAGCACGTGTAGCACAACGGTGATGGTCAGGGTAGAAATTCCGCGTCTCTACCTCGCCAACGAAAACATCTTCCTTGGTCTGGCTCTTACGAGCGGATTGTGGATAAAACATGACGTCATGGCAAGGGCACGGTGCTAAATAATGCTGAACACACCTACCGTATACGACACAAGATCACCTACTCTCTGGACCGATTTGCATAGCTCGATTTTATCAACAACAGAAAGAGTCGCAGCGTCGAAATCAGCGGCGTTGACGCCGTCTGGTCGAGAGAGATCTCAACGAAAACGTATCGCTTCGTTTATGCACCCTCTTCGTCGTGGACTTGGGAGCTTTGAAAATTGGTCCACGGGGCGTGTTATCTTGTGTCATGTCGAATACGGTATCTCTCCTTCAGCAATTCTTCCGACACCTCCAGCTTTTCCGAAAACGGATCCAAGAGCCAAGAAGAATCGTATCTACGTCAACGTCGATGGATTAGGGACCCGGAACAGAAGAACACGCGACAAATCAATCCCAACACCAATCCAACTATCGCCTACGGCTCTGCTACAGCAGAAATTGCAACATCATCGCACGAGAACCAACCGTCCGTCCCCCGTCCCCACCTCGGACATCTCGAGCTTCCCCCGAAACAACTCCGAGTTGGGCACCGCGCCGATGCCGATGATGACAGTGCGGGCAGGCACATGGATCTGCATCGCGTGTGTATTCAAAGATGCAAAGAGGGGCATGAGGCCTGGAAGACTAACCAATAAGCGTCGACAGCGACCTTGCGCTGAAGGAAGGCCGAGGTGGGGGGGGCGTACTCACGTTTTGCAGTCATGCGTCTCATGCCTTAGTTGTTTTACATTGACCACGCTTCATCGACAGAGGACGGGGCATTGTTCCCACAGGATCGATGGCCAATCGTTCCTTCCTACAATGTCCAAGGTGGCTGAAACAGTTGTTCCCTATCCAACCTATTCCATCGATGCCACTTCTCGCCTTTTCAGTCCCCTAGGCGTAGGGGTGGGTGGGCAGAACTCATGGCACCGGCTGCTGTAGGGAACACCGCCATTGTGCGAACCCCCCAAAAGACCTTCGAACTGGAACTGGGCTCGTCGGATATGACTCAACGTTCGTACAAGCGAAAGCTGCAGCACTCTGTTCATTTCCCACTCATTCCCGGAGACCATGCGACTGACCGCATACACCGAGCCTCCATATCACTACAAAAGATAAGTTCTGCGTGCCCCCCCCCCCCCGCCCTGGGAGGCACTACCGCCACTTCACCGTAAGTCATTCGTGGATTCATGCGGAACTCTGCGCAAGTTCATCTTCAACGCGGGCGCTGCTTGGTTCCTAAACCTCTTCCAAAACCCCGAAAAACCTGAAGGTTGTAGTAATACAAACAAGTACACTCAAGTGTCGTACATACACTGAAACACGTGTAGGACATGTCTCATCACGAAACATGGGGGGACTGTCGCCATAAAAAAACAGGACGAAAAACAACTCACCAAGCAATCTTCCGTATTGCGCAGGACTACTCCTCGACACTCGGTGAACCCCCGGGGCGCGGGGCCGAAGTGCACCCGGCGGCCTCCCAGGGTATCGAACTCCCCCTGCGAAACGAACACCACCAACAAAAACATAAGCGGGGCAACTAAACAAACACCACCAAAACCAACATAAGCGGGGCAATTCAACGATTACCACCAAAACAAACATAAGCGGGGCAATTCAACGAACACCACCAAAACAAACAGAAGCGGGACAAATAAACAAACGCCACCAAAACAAACATGAGAGGGGCAACTGCTAACTATCGTTGTCGGCGGTGCTGCGGGAATGAAAATTCACACAAGCGATGGAATGCCTTCGGATCAAAAGCAGAGGCAGAGATCGGCTGAGCCAAGACTGGCCTGCTGATTGAAGAGGGTAGGAGTAAGTAGGGCGCTTGGCGTAGCGAGAGAGTTGTGGAATTGTACTGCATATACTGTATGCCAGAGCGAACTAAATACACCTGAGAGGGAGATAATATCCACTCCAACAGTACCAACATATGCATATCACCATGTCACAAGCACCACCAGTAACAATCCCGTCCTTGTGTGTAGCATACCGTATATGACACAAGATAACACACCCCCTGGACCGATTTTCAAAGCTCCATTACTCCACGACGAAGAGGATGCACAAACGAAACGATACATTTTCGAAAAGCTCTCGACGAGACGGTTTCAACGCCACCGTTTTCGGCGCTGTAGCTGTTCCTGCAGTTGAGAAACCGAGCTTCGAAAATTGGTCAAGGGGGTGTGTTATCTTGTGTCAAATACGGTAATATGAACACGGTAACATATGTCCACGATAATCGTAGCAGACTGCTGTGTCTGCCAAGCGCCTGGGGTCCTTGCCTGCTCCTCCAACCCCCATAGCCGCTCCGCGGTGACGTTCTTCTCGAGTCGAACGCCGGCTTGCTTCAGCTTCTCCTCGTAGAAGTCAGACATTTCCTGACTGACAACAGGAACAGCAATATTTAAATTGAGCGAAAAATGTGTGGTGCATACTGTACTGACACTGCCTGCGCTACCCCGGCTAGCGAGCGAACACACTCCGGAGCATACGGAAACGTGTAGACGGGGTATAACTAAAACCTTACACACAAAAAAAAAAAGAGAGAGCAAGCTGGTCAATTTTGGCTGTATCAAAACGAAGAGGGGAATACATGCTATTATAGGTTGGAGTTAACGGCACAAATGCTGTAAGCGCTGACTTGAAGTGACGACAATAAAAGAAAAAATATTTAGCACCTCCAGCCCAGCAACAACACGAGCATCGGAATCGGACGCTCGCCGACACAACAACGCTTGGAAGCGACAAGGGCTGCAAGGAGCAGCACACCGCACTTGTGTGAAAGCCTCGATAACATTCCCATGCAACTATCGGAGTGACGTCATCACGGAGTCCGTGGAAAATGACGATTTCGCTCCTTCTTGTCATGAATCCTTGTCATCTCCTCGAAAGCACGAATCACATACCCACCACGTGAAACTCAAGTTGCAAGCTGCCCGCTGCACACACAAGATGACCCTTGAGTCGGGGACATGCGCTGACAGGACAAGAAAACACCTCTTCCCTGGACCGAGATAAGGTTCTTCGATACGGTACAGTAGTCTCAACGATCAAGCGTAGGCTAAAATTAGTGAGCTACGAACGGGATTTCGTGTAAGTACCGGCGGCTGAGCTCAATTTTTTTTCGCGCCACTTTCTGTCATGGTTTGAAGAATTTTAGAAACCTGCGCCTCGCTTTCTCGTGAGAGTGTGTTTCTTAAGAGTGGGCCGCCAATGCCCAAGAAAATATTGACATTCAGTAGGGGGCCCTGTTTAGCGATTTAGCGACCCCTTGCCCTGTTTAGCGACCCCAACACCACGTCGCACCGCCGGACCCCAGTAGAAAAACGGCTAAATACAAGTGATTGGTAACTTGGTGTAGCGACCTGCCCTGAACAGCGGCCACATTTCGTCGTGGCACTAGTGGGCGCTAAACCGTGCCCACCGCTGCCATGCGAAAAAGATCTTTCCGACGGCTCACTTGAACAAGTCCGGCATTAGACGCGACCCGGCCATGAGCAGGATCGGTCGTACACCCCTGACAGAGCAACGTCAAGACATGAGAAGAGAGGACGAGAGGACACACAGCAACGAAGGGCAAAGGTTTTTCCTATCATGTGTATCGCTCTTTGATCCCCGGCTCCGTGAAACCCTACAATGGATCGACGTTCTTGGGCAGGCGACGGGAGGGAAGGAACTAGGTACAGCTCGTTCACTTCCGGCGAGCATCAGTGTTGTGTGTACATGACAACATGGACACGTTCGCCTGACTCGTCGACAAGAGCGGCAGCCAAGGAGCGCTGCAACATGTACTGAAACGAGCAGCAGGTAAGGAATGCTCAAGCATGTATCGACACAAGATTGACGGAAAGAGATAAATATGTAGAGTAGGTCCTTCCGCGTGACCCCCCATCGGAGGTGCCCTCAAGTGGGCAAGGGTAACACCGAATGCGCGGGAATTTACGTAGGTACTGCGAGCGAGGTCCCAACAGACTACCAACACGGAAAATACGAAGGGGTAATGATTTGAGCAGTTCGTTTCGTGAAACGTGGCACGCGCAGCGATAACAATGCCCACCCGGAACAACATTATCAAGGGGTCAAATTGCCTGTGGTCAGCAAGGGAAAAACAAACGTGTCCAAGCGCAAGCGTCACCGACCAACCGGAAGGCGCCAAAGGGATGACAAGCACGGTAGATGTCAGAAGAGAAACACACACATACACACACCCATGACGCCCTCTCACGGGGTCCCCGATCATGGCCCTTTAGCATGTCATGTTATCAGCACGTCTTTTCATTGGCCAGCCGGCTACATGTAGTGCGGTCGATGCAAATCACACAACACATATGTTCACACATGCGGACGTCATGGGAGGTGGACACTCTTGGAAATTACTATTGGCCCGCAGATATGCTCTCATTGGTCAGCACAGTCGCGGCCGGCGCCAAAAAAGGTTACACACACACATGAAACTCACGGATAATGGGTGACGATCGCCGCGGCCACCTCCACACACAACGCCCCCCCCCCCCCCAGCGCAACC